AATGCAAATGCTGTCCCTTTAACCTCACGAAGCACACATTCATTACTATTATTATTATTATTATTATTATTATTATTATTATTATTATTATTATTATTATTATTATTATGGTAAAAACTGTTTGGTTCTTGTTGTTGTTATTTATATGATGACCTCCCATCCATTGACTCACACCAAACCAGTGCAATACTTAGTTTTTTTTACCGCCTGCTCCATGTTGAACTGACACAAGTGGGATGGAGAATGCTGATTTACAGTTGGATTTGTACTTTTAGTTTTGCTCTTGTTAATTTTTTCACCATCTCTGTGTTTCATTTGGAGCTGATGAGCGCTGGTGAACAACTGCTTGTTTTATCTGTGAACAAATATGTTAAAATAACCCCAATTGAATGTGGAATAAGACTTAATCTGACCAAAGGGACAGGGTCATACCTTTCTCTATGTAGTAGAACCTCTGGAAAAGCTTTTCCTACACCAGTCTGTAAATTGAGTTCAAATGAGCAGAAAACTGACAGAAAATCTGCATCACATAAACTGATTTCTATTTGTGTCGAATTTGATTAAAACTAAAATATCCTTTGTCACTTAAAATATGATATTCCTCTAATAGAGTGCGGATTTAAGTTAGCTTTGTGCTAATGTAATGCTACGATCGCTAAGCTGTGAAAGTCTAGAAGTCTGTTTTAGACTGTTACCGCTAACAACCCTTCTCATTTCTACACCCCGTTACACGTTATTCCGTTTTCTTTATTTCTTTGGGACCATGTTGGCATTACACGTTGAATCATTTTAACTTCTGCAATCCATAAAAGTCATAAACTGTCGCCACACAACACAAGTAGACGTTGTTCAGGAGCAGCAGTGTTTGTATCCTCTTGAAACTTAGACAAGAGGATTTGTTTAAACAGCCTCAGCACCACCGCAGAGATCAAATTAAACCGACTAGGTGATTTCCCAGGCTGCTTAAATATTCACGAGTTATTCTGCATAGCTGTTTCCTCACTCTAATGTCAGGTGAAGAAAGCATGAGAAGCCTCAGCTAGCGTACAGTAGGTAGGATTATCCTGAGGACAGCGATTGAAACTGAGCCAAGCTAAGAACCGGCCGACTTATAACCAGTCACTGACGGCCGCTAAGCTTTTAAACAGGACCCTCTTAAAATAAAAGCATCCAGCGTCTCTGCTCAGTGTAGTTTCCTCTCTAGAAGCACATCCAGATTTGTCGCACATTTCCTCACACCAGCATTTCTCATGGTTTATGATTTCTATGTTCTCCGGCCTGTGGGAAGGACATGTGTGTATTAAGTTGGCAGATTACAGGTGTAGCTCTCCTGTTGCACTGCATTAGGAAGATGAAAAAGGAAGTTAGGGTCTGGTTCCTTGTTTAATGGAGGGTAAACGGTCGGACATTTTAATTTTGGGATGGTTCAGTTTGAATATGTTCCCTCTGGAAGACACTTTTATTTTATTTAAATAAGGACTGATGACTGACGAGAATTTGTATTGTGTCCATAATGTCAAATTGAACATTTGCTTTTGTTT